TGGGGTGGGGGGGGGGGCGTTCGGCGATTGACCACCGGTGTTTATCGCAAAGTTTATCGGCGCGTGATACGTCCTTGGTTGGCTACGGACGATGGACGGCCCGTAGTTGTAACGATGCATGCTGCATCGTTACACACATGTACAGAACAATGTGTGATGAAATTAGAACAAGAATAGAAATTGTATAAAAACTTTAAGAATGGAAAATTATTTAATTTCGACTAATTAAGATAACAAAATTTTGACTATATTAGAGATTTTTATTTTACCGGGGATATTTATAATAAAAAAAAAGAACAGGTTTCTAAATATATACTATATAACATATATTATATTGTGCTTTAGGTGGGTTTCGAATGCATATGTATTGCTTTTCATCCATTTGGTGTGGCATTAGCAGCGGGGTCATCCGAAGGTCATCTTCTGGTACTTGCAGCTGATACTGGTGCAGCCGTGGCAACATTGAGAGTGTGTGGATCACCTTTATCTTGCATTGGATACAATCCCAGTACGAGTATTATTTTATTATTTTTCAAATCACTCTAATTTTTAACTTGTTTAGTGCTTTTTATAAACTTGTGGTTTTACAAAAATTTAATTTAATATAAATTTAAAGGACCCCGCACACACCCTTATGGAAATTGAATTTCGGTCGAATCGTCTGAAACTTTCAGAAAAGTTGGTTCTTACCATACTGATCAAAAGTAATAATGGGCACGAAGTCCAGAAATGGCCAGTTTTTGAGATACGTATGACGAAAAATCGGAAAAATGGCTTTTTGAGAGAACTAGATTGCTGTATAAACCGAAATTTAATTTCTATAAGGGTGTGTGCGGGGTCCTTTGTTATAATAAATAATATTTTAGCTAAACTTTTAATTAATTTATTTTTAATATTTTAAAAATCTTTTGTTAATAATTTATATCAGCGCTCGGAATTAGTTGCACATTTCGGGCCGATTCCCGAGACAACGCCTGCTGTTCCTCCACTACCGCCCGGCCGCTGGCGGCCGAGCCGCCGATAGCTTTGGCTCAGGAGCTTTCATATAAGAAATAGGCTGAGGCACCTCTAAAAAAAATAATAATATTTTCTTTGCTACATAAATAATATTTATTATCATTAATAATTATATACAGTGTATTTCATTTTAATCTAGCCAGGCGAATATTTCAAACGCTGTTGAGTTTAGAGAAAAAAAAATGTTTCAGACAAAAGTTGTAGGGTTCGGAGGGGGACACAAGATAGTGGGCTTGAGTTTTTGATGAAGGTAAAATTGAAGGTCATATGAAGGTCAACTTTGTTTTTTTAAATGAAATGTAGTATTTTACATTGCATATTCTGAAAGAACATAAAATTCTGCATTAAAATTGTCTGACACATTTTTCATGAAAATCCATAATTTTTGAGGAAATTTAGCAATCAAAGAAAAAATGTTGTTTTTCGTAAAGAGAATCATGCATCAATTTGTACATGTTCATGAACATTTCTCGTTTTTAGAGTTACCCGGAATCAACGGCGTGGACGTGACGAAAATCTGATTCCAGCGGGGTGCTTGATTTACGTGAGTCCCCTTGCCTCTCACTTTCGGGGTTGCTAGATTTGCTAAATTTCCTCAAAAATTATGGATTTTCATGAAAAACGTGCAGTTGCATGTTGCAAATTACATATTTTTTCTTGAAAGCAACTATGTGTTTTCTTTATACCAATTGATTCGTCTCATTATTTTATGCATAAAAGTATTAAGGTAGATTCCCGAAAATTGAATGTTTTACAAGATATTTTATATTTTATGTCAAAATACTGTAATTTACAAGCCTCATAACTCGAAAAGTACTTAATGAAAAATAACTTCATTATAGTGTTTTGAAAAGCTCTTGACACTAGCTATTAGATTTTGGAATCAAAAATAGGGGTTTCCATTTAAAAAAAATAACTGACCTTCAAATGACCTTAAAAATTGACTTCAAGGTCAAAGTTACTAACACAAATAGGTGATCCCCATTGTCCTGAACAACTTTTGTCTGAACCATTTTTCTGTATGTGGCTTACTTACGGAGTTATTTGCGTGGATGGATTAAAATGGCCCACCCTGTATATATACAGGGTGTCCCGTAAAGACCGTAACAACGCTTACGGGTATATTTCTGAGATAATTCTGAGCAAAAAATCTTAATACCAAAATACTCAGGGTGTAATGGTTTTTGAATTAGAAGCATTTAAAGTTAGCGAATAAAATAGCCTGAAATTTGCGCGCTCAGGTGTGTACAACGTACAGTAATAAAAGCGAAATTGACTATCGCTCCCCTGTTGTCAGTATTAATATTTGGAAAATAAATTTGCTAATACATATTAACATAAAACGCATGCATTTTATTTTCTTTTAATATTTTATGAACCATTGTTTTTGACATTCCAACTTGACGACTAATTTCACGAATACTCATTGTAGGATTTTCTTCTACATTACGTAGCACTTTTTCTTCATTTTACCATAAATGAGTAACATATCACAATATTTTGTACAAATAATGAGTAACATATCACAATATTCTGTACAAATATCTGTAAGATAAAAAGAAATGTCAAAAAATGTAATTTTTGACAGCTTGCGTTTTGTGTATCATAATATTTTTTTCTTTATAATATTTTCAACAAAATCTTTATTGCCTAAACAATATTTATGTTAATATGTATTAGCAAATTTATTTTCCAAATATTAATACTGACAACAGGAGAGCGATAGTCAATTTCGCTTTTATCACTGTACGTTGTACACACCTGAGCGCGCAAATTTCAGGCTATTTTATTCGCTAACTTTAAATGCTTCTAATTCAAAAACCATTACACCCTGAGTATTTTGGTATTAAGATTTTTTGCTCAGAATTATCTCAGAAATATACCCGTAAGCGTTGTTACGGTCTTTACGGGACACCCTGTATATATATATATTGTTGCGCCCACGGAACGAAGTATCAAACACGTCAAATGGAACTCAAAGAATAAAAGAACACTTTTATAAGAATAAAGGTAACATTTTAATAAGAACAATAACTTGAATAAATACAATAAGTAACCGGGAACAAATAGAAAGCTGTCATTAACGTCCGCTCGAGCAGACAGCTCACGAATCTGACTTCTCACAGTTTGTTTACAAACTGTGATAGAGACGTCTCAGCGGCTAAACAATATTACCATAGAAACTATTTACAATATATCGTCTATTTAAGAAACAGCTTTCAGAGCTGTGAACGGCCGATCGATATTATCGATTGATCCCTCAACTGATTGCACGCAGCATCGGCGGCGAAAAAGCCTGGGCGCAACACTGCTCCTTTTCAAAATTGTCGTCCCGACAATTGTTTTGGCTAAACGGACTGACTGTAGTCTTCATGTCTTCAAGTGTTGACTCCAGGATGATATTACGACTTCCTGCTCTACCCTGAGCTGCTGCTACAGGTTACCGAGCATCGAAATACTCAATCAAACACCTTTCAGGATCATGTAAGATTCTGTCGTCAAACCCTCTTCAAGCGTCGATTTCAGGATACCTTCATAACATGGTTTCTTGCTCTTCCCTGAGCTACTTTCGCTGCAGGTTACCGAGCTCCGTCTTTTAGTACTCAATCGACTTTCTTCTCGAATTTTTTTTAGTTACTTTCTAATTTCTTATTTTTCGGACAAGAGAAGAGTAATCACCGTGGATCTATCGCCCTAAGAAGAACTTCTCAAGCCCCCTGCCTCGGCATTCACTCTCCGGCTCACGGGAAAACTACGGCTCAAAAACCGTAAGCGAAGTAGTCTTCTTTGAAAAATTAAAAATCCTTTCCTCTTTTCCATTTTTCTTTCTATCTTCGTCTTTATTCCTTTTTCCAAAATTTCCTTCCCTTCCTTTCTTAAAACATCCTTTCTCCACTTCTTTTTTTCAAACATCCTTTCTCCACTTCTTTCCTTCCACAACTTTCAAACTTTCTCCTTCTCTTTTTTTTCAGGAAACTATTAAACAGAAATAAAAGAAGCAGAATCAAATAAACAAAATTAATTTTTAAACACATTAAGAAATTATCTCTCCATTTCTTTTATTATTTCGGGTTAACGGATGTTTCAACTTCATTTAAAAATTTTTTTTTACCTTTCATAAAATAAAACCAACCTATCCGTATGAACAACTTTTCTCTTATGCTTGAATGATGTTTGAATGCAATAAACCATATCACTTATTCTTTTAACGATTTTATATGGACCTTTCCATTGATTTTGCAACTTCAGAGCTTTTCCCATGATTCGTTGGGGATTGAAGAACCAAACTTTTTGTCCCATAGAAAAATTTACATTCCTAGCCTTTCGATCATAAATCGAACGTAACAAATCTAAAAGAATTCGCAAATTTCGAGCAAAATAAACTTCTGAAGGAGTTAGTTTTGTTGTTTCATGCTTCGAAGAACGATAAGCCAACAAAAACATCAGAATCCACCGATCCCAATCTTTTTGATTAGAAGAAATAAATTTGGTTAAATAATTCAAAATTGTCCGTTGTTGTCTCTCCACTTGTCCATCTGACTGAGAATGTAAAGCGATCGTTCTTGTTGTCCTTATTCCCAATAAGTTTGAAATTTTTTGAAAGCGACGTGACTCAAAACATTTTCCTTGATCCGTATGTACTTCCAACGGAACATCGTGCCTAGAAACAATCTGTTCAACAAAAGTTTCAGCAACCGTTACAGCTTTTATATTTTTCAAAGGAATCGCCTCTATCCATTATGAAAAACAATCAGTTACCACAAGCAAATATTTCTTTCCAGAATAGGTCATTGGAAGTGGACCTAAAATATCCATTTGAACTCTATCGAAAGGGTTTCCCACATTATAAATTTGCAAAGGAAATTTCCTCTTTCCTGAAAAACCAACCTTAGTTATACATATCTCGCAGGAACGACACCAATCTTTACGTCTTTTTTGCATGAAACCCAATAAAATCCCTGACGAATTTTTGCTAAAGTTTTATTCACTCCAAAATGCCCACCCGAAGAAGAATGGTGAGCTTCCTTCAAAATTAAATCAAACTTCTTTTGAGGAACAATAATCTGAAGAACTTGATTTTTCAAAGTCGGTGACTCCCAATTTTTTAATAAAATTTCTTTTTGAAGAATTAAGGCATTCCAATTATTCCAATAAACTTTAGCTGAAGAACCTTTTTCAATCACTTCTTGCCATGAAGGACGTACACCTGCCTCTTTTCAAGAATAAAGAAACTATAGGATTTTCAAGTTGCTCCCTCCTCCAATTTATAAATTAATTCATTTCCTTCTAAAATAATTCGGCAAACTTTTTTTCTCTATTTTCTTTTTTTTTAGATTCTACTTTTACACAATAACTACAAAGATTTTTTAAGCAAGGTTGTCTTGAAAGTCCGTCAGCATTGCCATGAGATTTTTCTTTTCGATACAAAATTTCAAAGTCATATTGGACTCTTTCCAACCAATGCGCCAATTGTCCTTCCAATTCTTTAAAGGACATTAACCATCGTAAGAAGACATGATCAGTTCAAACAAGAAATTTCCTTCCAAATAAATAATGATGAAAATTCTTTATTGAATTGACAATCGCTAATAGTTCTCGACGAGTTACACAATAATTTCTTTTAGCCTTTGTTAAAACTCGACTGAAATAAGCAATGACTTTCTCTTTTCCATTTTGTTTTTGCGATAATACTGCACCTATGCTATGATTGGAAGCATCTGTGTCCAAAATGAATTCTCCTTCCTCCTTAGGAAAAGATAAAATGGGAGAAGAAATTAAAGCTTGCTTAAGTTTCTCAAATGCTAACTGACATTGAGATGTCCATTCAAATTTTATTTGATTCTCTGTCAAAGTGTATAAAATTTTAATAAGAAATGAAAATCCTTTCACGAATTTCCTGTAATATGAGCAAAATCCTAAAAAGCTACGCAATTGCTTCTTGTTTTGAGGAACTGGCCAATCCTTTACAGCAATTATTTTTTCTGGATCAGTAGTCACTCCTTCTTTAGAGATAACATGTCCTAAAAATTTCACAGAATTCCTAAAAAAAGAACATTTCTTTGGATTAAGCTTAGGATGAGCAAATCTAAATCGTAAAAAGACAGTTTCCAACCGCTGCAACATTTCCTCAAAAGTTTTCCCAAAAATTATTACATCATCCAAATATACTAAACAAATTTTTGATATTAAATCACACAAAACTTGCTCCATCAATTGTTCAAATGTTGCCGGAGCATTGCACAACCTAAAAGGCATTACAGTGAATTGCCATAAACCGTTTCCTAACGAGAATGTTGTTTTCTCTTTATCTTGAAGACAAATTTTAACTTGTCAATATCCACTCTTAAGGCCAAGAGTAAAAAACCAAGAATTTCCAGAAAGCTAATCAATCATATCGTCTATTCGTGGTAGAGGATAAGAATCTTTTATTGTCACAGTATTGATTTTTCAGAAATCAACACAGAAACAAAGTGATCCATCTTTCTTCCTTACCATCACTGCAGGAGATAACCATGGACTTTGTGATCTTTCTATTACACCTTGTTTCTCCATTTCCTTTATTATTTCCTCTACCTCAGCTCTCAAATGAAGAGAGATCCGACGAAGTGTCTGTTTAATAGAATGCGAATTTCCTACGTCTATTTCATGTTTTATTAAATCGCAATTTCCCGCGATAACTTCTTTCAAGAAAACATCCTGATAATCTCGCAAAACTTTTGCATACATTTCTTTTTGAGAAGAATCTTAATTTTCCGAATCCCGTTCAAATAACTCCCTTAAAACAGAAGAAATTTTATTTTTCTAAAAATTTAATCGTGCACAAGCAAACTCTTTCTCAGTTAATCCTAATGCAGACCGAAGACTTTTTTCTGCATTTATTGCTGCCAAAAAATCTATTCCCAAAATACAATCGTCGCTAATTTCTGCGATTAAAAGAGACAAGTCCAATGAACATTTCCCTAATTTCACTTTTGCATGCGGCCGAAAACAAATCAAAACTTCTCCTGTGGGATAAACTAATCTTTCATTTCCTGAATTATCATAAATCTTCGATGTTTCTACCATTCTATTACTTAGAATCGAAACATACGCATTTCTATCAACTCTAAATAAACACGGTCTTTCATTAATTAATCCTTTAAAGCAAAACTTTTCTTTATGAATTTGACTTATTGTTGGTCTAAATTTTTTTTTCGGAGCCTCCTTGCTCTTTGTCGAATCTACCCCGAACAATTTGACAAAACCTAATTTGTTGACTTCTCTTTCATTAAAGCCGGACACTCTGCTCGGAAGTGTCCCGACTTTCCGCATTGCCAACATTCCTTATTGTTTTTCTGAAAGTTATTCTTATTTTTACTAAAATTATTTTTATTAAAATTCTTATTTTCCTTTTTCTAATTTTAATTTATCAGAAAAATTATAATTTTTATTCTCTCTTTTATCTTTTTCAAATATTTCAAATTTCTTTCTTTTTATTTCCGAAAAACTATTTTTACTAATTTTTTTTACGGTTTTCGCTCTCTCTATTGCTAATTTCAATGAAGAGACTCCCTCTAACTGAAGAGTCCACTTTACAAATTGATTATTCAGCGCATTAATGAATTGCGCACACTATCTTTTCCCGAACTTCCGCCGAACATTCAGAATAAGCTAACCTTGACAATCTTTCTATGTCAGCGCCTAAATTTGATATTTCTTCGCCAAATTTTTGACGTCTGTTTTAAATTGAGTGTAATAAGTCCCCGAAAGATGACCCTCACCAAATCGTAACTCCACAATTTTGATTTTAATTCAATAAAACTTAAATTTATGATTTCCAATATACAATCTAACATCGTTCTTGCTTTTCCCCTAAGACAGGATGCTAACGCAATAGTTTTCGCACTTTCTGTCCAATTATGTGCACTCGCGATCAAATTAAACTGAGAAATGAATTCTTTTAACGATCCCGTCTCGTCATACATATCCGGTTTCAATTTATAGCCTAAATTTACAGAAACTGAATTTACGGGCGCGCACGAAACATTCCCCATCGTAGAACTCTCGCCCTGATCGCCGTTCACAGTACTTAATATTATTGAAACGACTTATCTGGCTAATCTGCTGCTTTAATCTGCTTAGCGCCTCGTCCCGCTTCCTCTATTCTGTCTGAACTTGCTCCCGCTCCTGTCTCCGCTCCTCCCGAAGCTGTTCGAGCTGCTGCAAAATTGCGCGCAGCGTCTCTAACTCACAATCAGTCGATGTTGACGGAGTCTGGGAACGCGTTTTTCTCGGCGAGTGAACCGTTGACATCTTGAAAACACTTTTTGCACTGCACTTCACCGTAGTATAATTGTTCCGAATCCCGGACGAGCCCCCAAAATGTTGCACCCACGGAACAAAGTATCAAACACGTCAAACGGAACTCAAAGAATAAAAGAACACTTTTATAAGAATAAAGGTAACACTTTAATAAGAACAATAACTTGAATGAATACAATAAGTAACCGAGAACAAATAGAAAGATCGGAACTGTCATTAACATCCGTCCGAGCAGACAGCTCACGAAAATCTGACTTCTCACAGTTTGTTTACAAATTGTGATAGAGACGTCTCAGCTAAACAATATTACCATAGAAACTATTTACAATATTTCGTCTATTTAAGAAACAGCTTTCAGAGCTGTTGAACGGCCGATCGATATTATTGATCGGTCCCTCAGCTGACTGCACGCAGCATCAGCGGCGAAAAAGCCTGGGCGCAACAATATATATATAATGCCAAAGGGTATTATTATTATAAAAAAGTAGAAATTTTATAAATTAAGAGTGGTATTCATTTATATATATATAATTTATTTGCATGGGAGCATAACAAAATTTGCTATCTCTGATAGGATAAACATTTGATAGGATATAGGTTGAAACATTTGTCTTTCACAAAATAGCTGCTTTCTAATATTTTTATGAGATTTTTCATTGCGCAAATATTATATTATTTGATGTAAAGCAGACCTCTATTTTGTGTTTTCTCAAATAAATTGCGAATTTTTTTAAGACAATTTGAAGAGAAAATTTTTACATTTTTACTTACAGTAGCGGTCAATGAAATATACTCACCGAAATTATTGTTTTCTTTAAACTTTGAAGCAAAGTACTATACAAAATCGTAAAATTTATATTAAAGGGCATTATTAACGACCGATAATTTTGATTAGAACATTTTAGTTGAATTGTTTTAATATATTTTTACATATTTATAAAAATAGGGCAATATACAATAGAAACAATACTTGCTTAATAAATTTGTATTTCACATGTATAACAATAACAATTATAGGAACAAATAATTAATTATAACAATTATTAATATTTTGGTAAATATTCACATAAGGTCAGCACCTTCAAAAGTCAATGACCTTGACATATGTTGTCAAGGACATATCCCCGAGTAGCAATCAAAAAGTTTTAACCATCGCTCGTTGTTTATTAAAAAGTTATTAACAAAAAAAGTTTATTGAATACATCATTGTTTCTCAGGTTTCACATGGGTTTACAACTTTCCACGCAAAGCGAGATTCAAGCCAAACTTATGTGTCTAGTTTTTTGGTAGTGGAATCCTCACAAAGGAAGGAGGGGAAAAGACACTGCCTCCAAGCATACACTTTCTACGCGAAGCGAGGTTCTACATGGGTTTGCAACTTTCCACGCGAGGTTTTTAACTTTCAGTTGTAAACCCATGTGGAATCTCGCTTTGCGTGAAAAGTGTACGATGATGTATTCAATAAATGCTTTTAATAACTTTTTAATAAACAACGAGCGACAGCAAAACATTTTGATTGTTACTGGAGGATATGTCCTTGACAACATATATCAAGGTCATTGACTTTTGAAGGTGCTGACCTTATGTGAATATTTACCATATTTTTAAATAATAACTAATATTTTGTGATAATTGCGATTTTTCACTTTCGGCCATTTTTCGGTGATTTACCATTTTTATAAATACTACACTTTTTGAAAATAAGCTTGAACTAATTTCTAGCTCGTGTTAATTATCTATATATACCCAAATAAACCTCATTTAATTCTTCCCACCCTTACAGTACTTATCAAACACAGGTTATTTCGAAGAATCCTGCTGACTGCATTTCATTGACCACTACTGTACTTTTATAACATTACTTGCTATACAAGTTGCACATCGCTACAAAAGTACAATTTTATTATTCTTATATTGCATGGCCAGCTGGTGAGATTGTAGCCATGGGTTCTCAAAACGGCAGCGTATATCTCTTTAGAGTATCCAGAGATGGATTTTCATATAAAAAGAGCAACAAGATTCGTGGTACACAACCATTGATGCAATTGGACTGGAGTTCTGACAGCCGCTTTCTTCAAACCGTTACTCAAGACTATGATCTTGTATTCTGTGAGCCATTTATTATAAATTCTTAATTATCCTTACAAACATAATCAATAAATTTGCATAACTGCATAAAATAAAAATTGATTAATCAAGTATCTAAATAAAAAATATTAAAAATTGCAACGTTCTTTATATTAATTGCGTAATTTTACTTTTCCATGTTTTATGTGGTTATACAAATTTTTTTGAATAGATTTGAATTTTTTTGTTTTTTAGTCGAGATATAAAATATCCTAATCGTATTTACATTGAACTCGAAATACAAATCTTAAAAGAAGATAAAAAAGCATTGCTCTGATCTTGGATTGAATTCTGACGGTCATAAATTTAATTAAAGTTTTTTAAATAAAAACCCTCAATTTTTATTGTATATTCTTGTAACTGATATCAAAATGTTTTTAAAGTGGTATGATTAAATATTTTCAAGTTTAGAACTCTTTTAGAGATATTTTATAATTTTATCGTAAGATTTTTTCACATAAAATAAAAAACATTTTACAAAATATTTGCTTTTCAAACATACCTTTGTATATTTATAGAACGATGAGAGAAATTGATGTAAAAAAAGGGATATATCATTTTCAAAAATTTTATTGAATTTTGTTCGATTTTGCAAATGCATTAATATTTTTACAGAAACGCAAAATAAAAAATTAGTACTAATAATTAGTTCATACCTAGCTATAATACGAAATAATCTTTTTTTTTTAACTTTGTGATAAAAGTGTATAAATCTTACAATTAGTAAATTTACAAATCAGTCGATCATTTCTTCAACTGTAGAAACATACAGGGTCCTCTAAAAGTTCGGAAACGCTAAAATATCTCAAAAACGATCAATTATAGCGAAAAATATGTCAAAAGCAAAGTTGTAGAGCTTAAAAAAATCTACTTAATAGTGATAAGAGTTTGACTTTGGGCGGAGTCCCCAAGATCATATAAAGGTCAAGTTGAATTTTTTAAATAAAATCCATTTTTATTACATATTTTTGTAGCTTATTTCGAAAACTTTCCAAAACACTATAATATAGTATTTTTTTTGTTAGTACATTTAGAGTTATGAGACTTGAAGGTAACAGTACCGCCGGCATTAACATTATCCAAAATGAACCACGTGGAGATTTCCTGGTCGAATTGACACCTTGTGTGGGGGTGGGGAGGGGGGAGGGGAGGAAGTCACAGCAAAGAGGGTTTGGAGTCCAAAAATGCTACGGAAGTAACAAACCGTGGGGTCCTTATCCGATCAGGCAATCTCCACGTGATAATCTTGGATAATGCTAATGCCGGCGGTACTGTTACTTTCAAGCTTCATAACTCAAAATGTATTTAACGAAAAAATACTTTAATATAGTGTTTTGGAAACTCTCGAAGTAAGCTATATTCTGTCCAATGAAAGAAGGATTCGCGGATAGGAATCGGATAGAATCGAAAACTCGTCCGTTTCGCGTAGGTTTCCCCTCACAAAACGCAGAAAGCCCCCCCACTCCACATGACTGTACTGCTCGTGCAGCTTATCAATGCCAATGCTCTCCCCACTTTGGCCGCTATACTTCTCCTATGCTCAAACCGCAGATCCTTTTTTCTTTGGACAAAGTATACAAGAATATGCAATAAAAAATGAGAGTTCCATTTAAAAAATTTAACTTGAGCTTCATATGATCTTGGGGACTCCACTTAAAGTTAAGTTCTTATCACCATTAGATAGATTTTTTAAACCCTACAACTTTGCTTCTTACATATTTTTCGTTATAGTTGATTGTTTTCGAAATATTTTAGCGTTTCCGGACTTCTAGAAGGCCCTGTATATACACAGATAGGCACGCGCGGGTGATACGCATATGTATACATATACAGAGTAGTATAAGCGGAAAGGGGATAAGTTTACATGAAAAAAACAAGTCGAAAATGTAGAATAAAAATTTTTTAAACAAGGCTTTGTTTAAAAAAAAAACAACTTTTAATATTCGCGTTTAATTAACAATGTCTGGTATGTTCTGTCTCAATGGAACTTACTATACGATATCTCTGCACGCATTTATTTTCAAACATTACCAATATCAAAAGGATACTTCGGCAATATGAATCATGTCTCGATTGCTATATGTAGCCATATCGATAGAATGATAGAGATTGAGTTGTTGTCGACAAAGGTAAATAAAGTATAAGCTACTAGGAGTTAGTACAAAATCTTGTCGACGACAATGTTTATAAACACAAATGCGTGAGCTCCGTTGAGACCAAACATAGTTAAGTGTATGTGTCTGACAAATATTCAAAAAGTTGTTTTACTAGAAATCGAAATCTTGTATAAAAACTGTTTACAAGCATTTTAAAAGCATACTAAAATGGCTCATATTAATAGGCTCACCTAACCATCTTGGAAATATTATATTGTGTCAATTGTCCAATTTATTAATTTTAATTGAGGTCAAATAAATAACCTAAAATAATACAAATATAAAAAATAATACAAATTGTCGCAAATTAATTGATTAATGTGAAAACGGAATTTGATTAAGCATACCTATGAGACTACAAGTACATGATATGAGGTGTTGATATGTTGACAATTCGACAGATAGCAGACAAATAGCTTTTTGCAATGATGAAGAAAGGAAAAAGGAGAAAGCAACAAGCGAAAAAAAGGAAAGAGAAGGAATAGAAAGCCTATATATTAAGAGGAAATACGAACTTATATATTTTTTATGTAATAATTTAAGCTGGGACTAAAATGTGTTAACAATATTTTAACTTCATTAACTTCATTTTAGCGAAAATACTTGTGTTTTGTTGAAAGGTTTTATCAAACTAACTTTTTTTGACGTTAAATTGAGGTCAAACATTACATTTACTAAAGGATGCATCTTAAATTTGTTTTTAACAAAATCAGGCTTTTTCAAAATACAATAACAAACTACATACGGTCAACTATAATTACATTTGCATAATTATGAATTTTAAATTACAGGATGCGTATATATAAACATATTTGACATTAAATAACATTTTTAATATTAAAAATTTACTCTTTAATTGAGTCGGTAAAGTAAAGAAATTTCTTTTACTCTATCAACTCAATTAGAGAGTGAATTTTTTATACGACAAGAATGCATCAATTATTGACGTTGAAAAAAATTTGTGTTTAAAATAGATAAGAAATTATCTTATCCACAGGATAAGCGAGAAAAATTCTCTACTAACATACGACCAATTGAATATATTTGTAAATATATTATAATAACATACGTGACATTTTGACATATTTTGACGAAAATTTTAACCGTGTTTCTGTTATGGATCGGGCATACTCTTTCAATTATCTTACACATGTATATGTGAAATGACAATGATTATTGTCAGCGTCAATATATAATATCTCTGGGTAGTTTTGATATATACAATTCAATAAAAAATTTACATAAAGAATGTTCATAGACTACACAGACACCTATATTTCAAATGAAGTCAAATTACTGTTGCAACTGGGTGATCGATTTGCTGTACATATTTCAAATAATAAAAAAGATAAGACACACATTGAAATTTTTAAATATATCGAAACTAATGTAGATAAATGTCATGAATCGATCTAGACAAAAAATTAGAAACAGGACCATTTCTATTTTAAAAAATTTTTACAAAAATTCGCTTCTGCTAAATGACTGAAAATTTGATTTTAAAATGGTTTTTATGCACAAAAAAATTTGTAAAAAATTATCCAGATATTTGTTTGCAAAAGCTGATAAGAGTAACATAATGGTTGCATTAAAAAAAGCAAATATATGTATGTCGAAGATGAGTACTTCTCTACTTGAGTACCTCGTACTTTCAGATAGTAATGCCTCCTCTTCCTCATAACTGAAGATCGCGACTTTCGTGTATTTAGCATGCCACCATAACACTCCACTGAGCTCTGTCCCCGCAGTGTGCATGGCGTTGTGGAATATTGCCCCAGTTGCCTCCGGTATTTGGTCCGTCCATCTTGTGAATGATTTGTCTCTCATTCTTTTACCATCCACTTTGCCAGTTAACTTCTTTAGGTTGTCGGGTTTGCGCCTTGCAATGTACCCAAAATATTGTAATATCCGTTGCTCAAAATATTCGCATTCGTTGTTGACCGCCATACCTTGATATTAAGTTCTTCCAGAATAAAAACATTGGTCCAGAAGGTAGCCCATGATACTTGAGTATTCGTCTCCACATTTTGAAGACATTGATCTTTTGCCTTTCGTTTGCTCTAAATGTGCACGATTTTATTATACACCATACATGAAAATCGAAAAGATCAGTGTGCAAACTAATTTCACTTTTGTAGTGTGAGTGATGCTATGGTCGTTCTATATTTTCTTTAATCTGGTCATAACGCTCTTTGTGATCCCAATTCTGCGTCTGATTTCCGCCTCACTGCCGTCCAAGTCAATAATCAATGAATCGAGGTAAACGAACTCTTTAATCGCCTTCAGTTCGTCGAGAGTGTTGGTTCTCGTCATCAACTCGGTATCGACTCTTTCAATTACCATGAGTTTTGTCTTGCTTTTGTTTCTTCTCAAATTCAATTGGAGATTGAATTTGGGTGTTCGACCCTGTCAAGTAGACATTTTATTTCTGCCTCTGATGAAGCAATGAGAAATGTCATCCACGTATCGTACTTGGTAATTTTCCTACCGTTTATCGTAACACTATCTTCCTAATTCTTTAATGCATGTCGCATAATATACTCGCCATAGATGTTGAATAGAATGGTAGTATATTGGGTTGTATCATAAGTCCGTAGCGCTATTTTTTAACTTTTTAAAATAATTTATTTTCAACATAAACATAAATAAATCAATCTATAATATATTCTCCTCCACTATTTACGACCTCTTCCCAACATTCAACCAGTTTTTCGGTCCCATTGTGATAAAAGTGAGCTGGTTTGGAGACAAAAAAATCGGCAAGCCAATTTTGCATTTCTTCGTCGTTTTTAAAGATAATGCCACGCATACTGTTGGAGAGGGAAC